AGAAGGATCTCAGACCAAATACGACCCCCCTCCCTCGCGGTCAAATACGACCCCCCCCCGCGATTAAGCAGATGTTACAATTTTGACCCAAATGCGAACTCGGGTGTTGGTTGGTTCCATAGCTTGCTCATATGTAACCTAAGCATCATTAATGAAAAAATAGAGAACTATTCACGGTATTCAAGGTTTGTTGCAGTATGCGGTGGATATATGTAAAGAAAATTTTTCTTGTAGGTTAAAAAAACGTCAATTTGTTCTGAACTCACCTAGCAGTTATTCCATCGATCTGAGTAGTGTTTGCATGGGCACACTCCTGTGACTTTTTACGAAACAAACATGGAAACAAAACTCGTTGTTGTTTGCGATACGCTGACCGATGACGGGGCGAACGAATGTAACTGACGAAGTAGCACTGACAGTATGTAGGAAGAGCGAGAATCACCTAGGCATGTACGGTGCTGTTACAAAAACGTAAGTTGAACTCAAAGAGCAGGTCTCAACTCACAGTGTAAGTCTGGACAACTAATGAATTTTCTGTTGAGAGATGTCGAAGGGAGACGTGGGTGGTGATCCCCGAGAAACACCAAGAGCAAACAAAAACCATCAACAACACTGTGAAAGAGCGCATCATCTGAAAAAACTCCATATTTCTGACCCCCGGTGCAAAGTCGTGCAACGGCCTCAAAAACATTATTCAAAATAATTTATTGATGACTTTTATATTCAACAGTAACATTACAGAATTTGCCATAAGTTGCCTAACCATTAACCAACCAGCCTAGTTGGTAGGCAGTGACCTATGAAAATGTAGAAGATTGTGTGGGACGGGGTATAGTGTCGCAATAGACCACCTTGTGTCAGTTTCGCCGCGGAAAGGTGTAAGGTAAAGGAGTTACGAAGCAAAGTTGCTCCATTGTTACCTCCCTTTCCAGTGACTCCCCTCCAGAGTCCGTCTTTGATGTCACCTCTTCCAGCCAAAAGCGATTATACTGGACGAGTAGCATGAAATGGATAGTCTGCCTCATTTTATGGATGATAGGGCTTATTCAAAGAAATAGCCGACTGGACTCGTCCAACCCGTCGCCCTGACCTTTTACGCGCGCAGCAACCACTCTGAGAGATCGACAACGCAGCCCACTATTGTGAGGCGTTGCCTGACGTTTCTTTGTGACATTGTCCTTTCACATTGAAGCTTCTACAAGTTCAGCTTCCACTCTTCATACTACGGTTCCCTTGCTGAATCGCGTGCTTCTGACAAGCTGAAATGACTTTGAGGCTTCCCTGCGTCAAGTTGGTGCAACGGTTAATCTGACAGTTCCACAACAAACGCTACGGATCCTTAAAGGCACATTCCGCGTTAAAATAAGGCTATGACCTCTCAAATGTGTCGGACGATCCGGAAGGCGATTTTTGAGGCTGCGCTACTTCAAAATGTGAAAAACGGCAAGAGAACTCTCGCTAGAAGCTGACTAATTAGGCCCATGGACACCCCTTAGGCCCATGCCGACCCTCACCGGCTGCTAGCTACTAGCTAGTAGCCACTATGTTATCTTTCTCTATAACATTTCGGACTGCTTTTTCTGCTGCTTTTCTCCGTACTTAGCACTTTCTTGTGCTATCTTACTTCCGTTTTCCCGCAGTTGCGGCAGGCGAACTGTCCTTTAAATGAGCAGAACTCTTCTCTGCACCTCGACTTTCTTTGGGGAAGTTTTCCATTCATGATGTGTTCCTTTCACACTGTGAAGTTCCCTCGTCTCGTATCCTTTATTTATTTAATTACTTATTCATTTAATAATTTATTTATTTACTCGACACTCTAATAGGTGTGCCCTAGAAATATGTAAAGCAAGCTCAGCAGAGTACTTATTAACCAGTCAAAGCCATAGATGCAAGTGGGGCTTATTAGGAGCTGTGTTTTGATTGCCAAAGAAAAAAAACTGAATATTTGCGGAGGTCGGAACTACTTTAGACTGTTAGAAGGGAATGACATTCCCTGCTGAAGACATATCGGCACGTCGATGGGAAGTTGCGAAAGTGCAGAAATGCCCGACTTGGTCGTCACTGCAACTTGTTCACCTCAATATAGCGAGAACAGTATCAAGACCACAGGAATCCTCAGAGAGGCAGCGGCACATGAGTCAAAGATTTCATTTGACAGCTAGCAAAATACGAATACAATGCAAAATCTTACCTTCGCTTCATCAGAGACGCATGACTGCGATGTTACGGTTTCTCGTCGACCTGAAATAGATGTTCCTTGAAACGCTCTGTGCAAGCCTTGCAGGAATCTTTGCAGCACGTCGGAACTTCTGGGCAGCACTGAGAAAGAATTCCGATGACCGTGGCCTTGCTGTATTTTTCTTGCTGCAGTTTTTCAGTGGTATTTTCAGTGGTGGGTAAGTCACAATAGGGAATGTGCTAAGAGGCGGTTATAAGCGCCATGCACATATTCTGCTTCCGCATGTCTAATTAGCAAGGCCATGCACATATCTGCTTCCGCATTCTATTACAAGTGGGATTGCTGCGCCAATCAGGCACCATTAGTTCCGATAGCCCAAGAGTAAGTAGCTCGACCCTTAAGAAACATGTTCGTAATCGCCGACCGGTGGAGGCTCATGGATCCTGTCTTTTAGAGCTTGTCGCCGAAGAGTCCAGCTGCACCTTGTGCAAACTCTGAGCGCTTCATCGACACGTCCACCAGAGTAGCGCCCCACCCCGTCTCGGAAAAGTCTTAGAATGCTGAGCTTGTGTACCTCACAATCTTGCCCTTTCTTTAGAATGCGGCCGCGCGACCCAGTGTGTGCATGCTAATTCCAACTTTTGAGCGGATGTTTGAGTAATTCAATGACCACTCACTGAAGATGAAAAACTGATGTATGTTTGGGTTTTTTGAAATATTCAGGCTACCCGTTCCTAATCTTAAGCAATAAATTTCTTTATTAAAGTCACGATTACGGGAACACTTCTTGGAACTAGCTGAAGAACTCCCTACCCTCTACTCTACTTCTATGTGCAGTAGATTGTAATTATAAAACAAAAATTTGTTCTGTGCTAAAATGTTGTTGAGAGCGAAAAATAAATACTCTTCACTACAACAGAGAAAGTAAAACTGTCAGAGCGCACACCTTCTACTGTCAGCCTTTTTCTCCTTCGTCTGTTGTTCTCCAAGCAGTGCCATTACACATACAAGTAGGATTAGGACGCCTATGTTCAGAATGTTGATGACGTAGGAAAGCCATAGCGTTTCATATGGCATTGCTAAAAACTCCTTAATAACATTTCTGAGCACTATTCCACTATTAAGGATAAAGGATAAAGTCTTCGCCGTTGATCAATCCCTTTGTGGGATGCGGCACGCATTCTACTTCCATTCAGAATCGTAGTGGCTTATTGAATGCGATGTGGCCTATACAATGACTTGCGGGGCTGGTACCAATTTACCGTCCCCGGAGGAAGAGGCCACATCGTTTGTTGGGTCTAAATGGGGAAGGAGCTGGTATTGCCCCCCCCGCCCCCCCCCCCCGCCCCCCGCCCCCCCCCCCCCGTTCTGGAGAGGAAGGGAGGGGGGGGGCGTATTGCCTTCTGTTTTTCTAGGAAGGGTCGCTGACCTGATCTCTTTTGTTTGTTTCTTCTTTTCCATGTGTACCACAGACCCCCACTAGCCCTCCACCCCCTAAACCCAACTACGCAAACAGCACAAGATTTGAGTGGAAGCTTGGAAGATTTCTCGGAAATCCCGGTAAATGTGTAGGAAGTTGGAAAATTGAAGAAACGGAAGACAAGTGGTTTATCGGATGGGAGGGAGGGAGGAATCGCCAAACCCCTACAAAGAGGTGTAGGGGGAGTCGTAAAAGGACTCACACCAAAATCGCCAACTAATGGTCTGCCCTGAGATGAAGCTCGGAGTACGACCCCGGGATTGCACTGGGACCGCGTGAGGACTACTTAACGGCTTACACCACCTCCACTTCATTGCGCATTATACTACTTTAAAAAAGCAAACGACAATTATTTGGACGCGCTGACGGTGAAAATTTCGACACAAATGTACCTAATTGGCAAAATACGCGCTAGAAAACTTGTTACACGGGGGTAGTTGACATATTTAATCAGCGAACATGCACCTGTTTTAATCGACACATGGTGCCATTTGCGGCGCAAAGGCGCTTAGTTTTGTCGCATCCACCATTTCTACCTTACCCACTATGCGGAGCGTATCTCTGAACAAAAAAGAGGAAAAAACAGCTATTTTACATTACCTTGAATCGGAGTGCAAAAGTTGATTTGGTCGTTGTTCATGAAAATTATCGACGTGACAATACTAACAGATGCAAGTAAGAACGGTGGAACACACATGAAGAATACGTACGGTAACGAGGATGTCATGCGATGCCTACAATAAAAAGAGCTTGGCATAACTAATACGGGTCATATTTAATTGAAGAAAAAACTGAACTGAAAGTAGGATGAGATTTTCATGCGAAATCACGAAAAAAACAGATAGCCATAAAGAAATCGCTGTTCGCCTCCCGAGCGGTGAGAGATCACTTTCAGGCGCAGTTCGCGACTGCATAGCACCTTCGCTGCATAACAGCTACAGTTGCCGGGTTACATGCCCACTGGGCTGGTTAAACCTGTGAACTCTTGTGAAGCTGGAGTAAGTTCGACGAGCCAGCACGGTAAAACCTGACATCTTGTACGCTCATGAAATAACTCTCTAGATCGACACGTCCACGGAAGACAAACAAAGTGCAAAATGATCTCCCTCGCCGATATGACTTCCCCTCACTTTCAGATCACGCAGTATTGCAGTAGCTAAGTCGTTAGTGTTGCTTGATGTTCAATATTTTCTCTCGAGAGCAGATCTGACTGAGAGTGCACCCGAGGCATCTACCCCTGGCGAGTTCTCACACGCTTATGAAACACGAATATCACTTTCGCTTACCTGAAACAACTTGCGCGCGCGCAAGATAGCTAAATCCCTCGATCATATTCAAGAATTTGTTTCTGAGTCTTTTAAGCCCCCTGAACACGAATCCTTCCATCCGCTGACGCTGACAGCCTGACGGCCGCGTCACGGCACCGGCGCCAAAAATACCAGATATTACCAGAATCACTATAGAACTTGTCTTGTCCCAAGGATTGCCTCACCCTCTGAGCACGCAGAAGTGCCCAGAATCTGCATAAAGTGCCAAGGGAGTTGATCGTGGAGGAAGGGTGGGGATAAACGTGGCAGCGCGGTCTACTTCTGCTCCTCTGCGCCCTTCCCTCGGAATAGTGAGCTCTTCTTCTGTTGTGGCCAAACCATATCGAAGGCAACGGTCACTGTGTTAGGAGAGGGTATCGCCTTACCTCGTCGTGTGTTCCCCAATTTCCCTTACTAACCACTTGGCACGAAAGCGCGTATAGTCCGCGCTGCACACTCCGGAGTCAAAATAAGCACGTGGTGCCGTCACATGTAATGTCAGGCTTAGGGCGTTGTACCGCTCCCGCACGGGCATCCAGGTCACTCTGGGTCAATCAGATGTGCTTTTCGTGTTCAGGAAGTGAAACTGCGCCGGCTACACATTTCCAGCCAACTCTGCGCTCAGTCAAAAAAGTCAGTAAAAAAACTGGCCGCTTTCGGAAGACTTGAGCAGTTAGTGGTAAATAGTGCCAACCCTTCCCCTCCCCTTCCCTTCTACGTCAAACTAAGCCCTTTTCACTAGTCTCATTAGCAGAAAGTACACAGAAAGATCGATTTACTTGAGAGGTATCGTCACAGCAAGAAGGTAATCCAAGGCCATCATGAAAAACATCGCTGATTGAGCCACCATGGCAAACACATACACGCATGTTTGACGAAAGCACTCTGACCGTAAAACGGCGTGAAACCTGAACGAAAATCATGTGAGCCATATTTTCTGTAGGCTAAATATTCGCAATTACCGTAATTGCCGGGCCTCGATATACAGTTCATTGAGTAGGCAAATCACATGCAGAGAAGCGATCACGGCCACAATATAACCTGCATATTACCATATCAAAATCATA